AACCAACTGCTTGAAGACTGATCAATTGTGGGAATCACAAAAAAGAGGGAGCAGAGGAAAATGAGAACAAGTCCTGCAGCTGGACTCTCGCTGTACACATGAAGTCATCTTCACTAGGCTTTGTGGCAATATACTTTGCACCCTTCCTTATAACTAGGTCTTTGTAATTTGCCTATTTGCTTTTGGAAATTGAAGTAGTTTGCTGTCCTAGTCATGTTTGGTACCAAACTTAGAAGATTGGTAAAAGTGAGGATCAGTTCAGGAAGTGGTATTTCTTTCTTGATTTCGAGACAAGTTTCAAGGTTAGCTCTTGCACATGTTCTGTTTATTGTGGAAAGCACTTCCAGTGACTCTTCTGCCCAACAGGTGTTGCACAGTGTTTTGCCAGCTTTGATTTAAACATTAGTTTTTTTCTTGCCTTTATGTTGATTATTCCTGTTCTCTTGTAAATTTGCTTCTGCTGCATGTCTTGACAGATCTCTCTAGCACAGTAACTAGGCAGATTGAAGTCAAAGCCTTGACCTAACATGTGGTGAAGCTTTTAGGTTGCAATTAATATGTAGTGGAAAATCTTCCATGAAGTAGGGTTGGCTAGTGTTATCTTGAATGCGGTTATGCAGTGGAGTCCTTGCTTAATTCTTAAGCTCTCCTTGGAAGATTTTCCATTTAATTTCATTTAACACTGGGGAGCAGGGGGCATGGCTGATATTTTGAGTTGAAACCACTTCTTTTAGCACAGTAAAAAAAATTGGTTACATGTTACTATTCAGATTATCAACGCATAGGAAGGAAAACAGAAGCCATAAAAAGTAAATCCTTGGATTGTTAAAATAAGTTGAACTGGCACTGCAGTGCACTTCAATGAGTTAGCAGATTGTGCAATTTAAATCTCGTATCAGACTTAGTGGTTTGGAAATTAATTATAGGATGATGGAAGAAGTTAACTTGGAAAATTCTTTAAACTGCTGTAGCTAGCAGTACTTTTTAGATAAATATAGAAGTAAGTAGTGTATACAGTTGACTTAAACTTAGAAATTAGTTTAACGATAAGCTAATATTTCTTACTGCAGGAGCTTGTTCTGTGAGAATCATGTTAGGTCTTCTGAGATGGAGGAATGGCCACGCAAGGAGGGTGAATGAAATGTAGATGCACAGGAAGGCCAGAATGTAAGGCTGATTTTGGCCTTATGGGGATATGTCTATTAGAGGTCACAGATCCAGGGGTGAGTGACTCTCTTCAGCTGAAGAGGCCTTCTTGCCTACATGATGCTACTTGCCATGTTCTCTTCCCAAGATCTTTTGCCTTGTGGGCCACGTATCACTGTATGCTTAAGACGAAACCTGAGTGTAGTGGCTGCCCAGATTTCTGTTGTTTCTCTCTCACTATCATCTCAGCGACTTTGTGAGCCTTCCTTGGGAAATGCGGGGGAGGAAGGAGAAGAGGTGGTTTGGAGCTGATCATCTTATAATAATTGTCCAGTTCTTCTCTGGGTATCAGCTTTTTTGTAAGGTCAGCTTAGGGAATGGCTGTTATCCTGCTGGAGTCTTTTGCACCCAGTTTTTGCAAGTCCTACTGACTTAGTTTTGTTTGGTTTTTGGTTTTTTGTTTCTTGGGTTTTTTTTCCTGGCAACTGTCTGATACTGGGGTTCTGTGTTGGATATTGAATTGCCTCACACACCAACATTTCTTGCTGTAGTGTGCACACTTTGCAAGCTCTCGTGGGAGGGGTTGGGCAGTCTCCACTAAACAAAAAACCCAGCAACTACAAAAAAACCCACCCCAAGGCACACACAAAAAATCCCGCTAAAGATTAAGTTATATAGCCTATATAGTAATGTTCCTAATGTTTTTTATTACAGTATGAGGAGTCTGCTCTTGTTTTTTGTGAAGTCGTCAGAGCTCTGATTAAGTTCACTCTGATTGCATTGACTTTCCAATTGACTTTAAGCATCATGTGAAAAGTATTAGTATTTGCTCTGTCAACCTACAAAATAATAGCCTGGGAAATCCCAAACTTTGTTAGTCAGTTTCGTAATTCAGATTCAAAGTTGGGCTCAGCAGGGTTTTTTTCTGAGATTTTAGAAAGTGAGATTAAACAGGCATGCCATCAGAAGGTTTGTTAAAGATCCTGAGAGTGCAGTCCAGAGAAAAGACCACACAAATTCTGCTTCAGGATGTTTTTGTTTTCTGCCTGTCAACAAATTATACTATGGTATGAAGATTTATAATAGGGTACTAATAATGTTACTTGGTGTTCTGGATGGAAACTATGCACACAGAGAACAATAACATCTGACAGTTTATTTTAAGGCAGTAATGCAAGTAAATGCTCTGTTCAAGGTTTGTATTTGTGGTTGTGACTTGTTAAAATGGAAATGGAAAAACAAACAGGAAAAGCAGGTGAGATAGGTTGATTATGGAATATAGCACCATGTCTTGAATTTAACTCAAGCACAGAGACCATAACAATTTCCCTTAAATGCGTGTCAGACTTGTTCATACTTTTAGAAACAAGGCCCCCAATCATGTCAAATGTGCAAAAGTAGAATAAAAATAAAACCTAATTTCCTTATCTTCTCCAGTTTGAGTTCAGCGGTTGATCTTTTTTTTTTTTTGTGTTTGTGCCCTGAAGCTCAGTGGTCTTACGAGTTTTTAAGCCATTGTGAAGCTCTAAACTGATCATGTTGCTCTGATTGAACAGACAACTTAAGCAGGTGCGCGTGTCCTCTACTGGCTAATGAAGTGTCCATATTTATTGGAATAGCCCACTGAATCACGGCTACAAAACCAATGGACTTTTCAGTTTTTGCACCTTCTGACTTTTACTTAAAACTATGTATTTTTAGTATTTGTTGGAAATTGATATGCCAGTACAATAAGGTCTGATTGACAGGGACCTTTCCAGGCTTCCCCAGAGCAGCTGGATGCTCTGTATGTCTAAAGAAAATCTTGAGGGAAGGAAAACAAAGTTTATTATGGCAAAGTGAGATGCTTGTAATATTTGCTTCTAATACTCTGTTTTTGTCAGAACTCCTGACAGATTTTCCATTTATACTTGATGGGTACTCAGTAAAAAGGCAGGGGTATTCCACAGGCCTGAGTTTATCCAGATACTTTCTTAAGATTACTGTGATTTCTGCTCCACCATACTTGTTTTAGTAAAGGATTGACTTAGTTTTGCTTGATGTGACTTGAAGAAACTTATCCCTTGATGTCAAACACAGAGTAAGAGCTAGGTATCAAAGTAGGGATTTCTACTCTAATTACCAGTAATGAGTTGCCCACAGAAGGATATAGTTGCCCATGGTTTCCGAATGTTTGTTCCTCTGCTTACTTAGGAAGTCTTCATTATATGTATACCCAGGGAGTTTGAGATCTAGTTTATTCTTCTTAATTGCTGTAGCCTACAGGAGCAGTAGTTTGTTTTTGTTATTAAAACATAGCATTTGTAAGTAGTTGGAAGAAACAGAAATAATAATTCATGCTTTTTTACTGTATAAACTATTAGGTTGTAATTTAGCCCTGTGTATGGATGAGTATATTAAGAGTTTTACAAAGTGCTGGTTAGATTAAGTGCTGAATTTGTAATCCTTAATTTATAGCCTTTTGAGGTATTATTAACCTTGTTACTAATCATATATAAGATGAATAAGTTCCATGACCAGGGCATGAATTGGATGAGGCTTGTGCATAGCACTGATAATAAGCTATGGACATACTAGTAATCTCATCTGATGAGCAACATTATCTTTTATAAGTCTTGCTGTTGCCATGTGGCTTTTTCTTTTGAGCAACAGGTGATGGTTATTGAATAACCCTCCTAAACTTGCCTTCAGGGTTCTCCTCTGCCTCTGTGGGAGAGAGTGGTTGGGCTGTGGCCCTTCATACTTCTTTGGGTCAGGTGAAAAATGAGGGTGTTTCCCCTGAAGTGCCCAAAGTGCTAGACAGGAAATAAGGGCAGGGACTGACTCCCTTGGTTTCAAATAGTCAGTGATGCTTTTAATCCTGTGGGTGCCTTCAGGAAAAGGATGGGGGCTAATTCTGCATTTGAGAGCAAGAAAAATGTTTGAGCAACACTGAGAGGAAGCAGTAAAGACAAAGAAATGACACTCCAAGTTTCCAGGGGTGGGGATTCTTGGAGTAAAATTTTATTATTGATAACATTACTGAAACTGTATCCCTTATACCATCTTGGGATTTCTGTGAATGTTGTCACTGCATAGTAGTGTTGAACTAGATAAAACAGCTTTTTCCCCTGAAGACATACCGTTGTTTTTCCCAGGACTGGTCTCTAATGGTTTAAGCACAGTCATCTGCTTTGAGTTAAATTTTCAGGTACAGTCATGAAATCATAAATCTAATCCCTCACATTTTAATGGAGAAACAGGGAATAATACAGTCATTCTTGTAGTGAAGAAGGTGCAAAAGGTAGTCTGAGTCTGAAAGGGCTGAATTGGGCAGTCTGTCATACTCATTAACTTAATCTGTCAATTTTTTTCCAGTTTGGGGCTAGTTTTCTTGTGAATCAGAGTGAGTTTGTTTTGACTACTGTATCAGTGAGTGGGGTGAGAGAAAATGAATTGCAAAGCAACTTCCCCTCTTTCCCTCCCCCCCACTTTTCTCTCCCCTTTGTGTGAAAGTGGCCTGATTCTCCTCCCACCTGTTTGGCCCAGGAAAGTTAATTCATTTGGGCTGCAGTTGAAAAGGATGTATGCCAAGTACTGTGGGCACATGCATCGTGCAGGACTGTGTAATGGAGATGCTGGAGTCTGCACTGAAACAAGACACGGTTTCCTGAGCAAGCGGAGGCAACTTTTGGTGATTTGTGACAAATCAGTATTTATGCACGAGGTCCTGTAAAAACACAAACTCATGTCTCTGCTGATTTGCGTGCATGTATACTGAACTCTGTTGCATAGTCTGGAGATGCCTTGCTGTAGTTTGGATGCACTATTCTTGTATTATGAAGAAACATGATTTCTTTCTGTTTATTCTTCAGGCAACAAGAGCCTCTCTGACTCAACATTGTACCAGTTTGGGGGAGTCACTGGGCAAGGAAAATGATATTGCCCTGATTATTGATGGCCACACACTGAAGTATGCCCTTTCATTTGAAGTCAGGCAGAGCTTTCTAGACTTGGCACTCTCCTGTAAAGCAGTCATTTGTTGCAGGTAAGAAATTTCTGTGACTTTTTCAAGTAACAAAATGGGTGTGAAGCCTGTGAAGTTCAACTTACTGTGCACCCTGCTACTAAGCAGCTTGCTTATTAGTGTCTTCCTTGCTCCTGTGAAGGAGGAAGCAAGTCCTCCACTAAAATTGTTATCTAATAATGCAGTTCCTTCTGCCACAGTCAGTCCCAATTGAGTTCGATTTCTTTTATGAACTGATGAAAGATCATGAGAAAACATTGTGCCTGATTGCCTGATTATAGTAGACACTGATGAGGAGCAGTATGGATGTAGTCATTTGTAAGCAAAAAGTCTGTGTTACTGTTCAGTTCAGCTCTAGAGAAAGTCACTGGATGAATTTGTCTTGACTTAAAATTTTATATTATGTGAGCCTGTGGGTAACAGTGCAATTTGCCCTATTTAAATGTTAGACTTATGCTTGCTTTACTATGTCACAGCAGAATTTATTGCCTTTTGTGGATTTAGCTGTACACAGATGTGGTCCTATGTCATGACTACTTCAGAAGGAGGAAATAAGAGCCTTCCTAGAAATATGAAAATGAAAACCAAAAGTTGACCTGCTTTACTTTATGGCAGGAGGGCTGCATAATTTTTAACTTGGAAAGATCATGCAGCTTTGAAGACTGTATATGTATTTGTGCTTGTTCCTGGTATCTCGGGAGAACTGTGACCTAGAAGGAACTGTTGATTTAGGCAGACAGGAGGTTCTATCTGCATCCTAAAAGCAAGACCTGCTCTGTGGGGAATGACTGTATGGAGACCTTGTACTACTGTTTTGCAACCTTACTTATCTTTATGTGTGTACTCTCATATAAGTATGACATGGCAAAAGCAATTGCTATCCATGCACCTGAAGTAGATAAACCCATGGGCTTCTGTCTGACTAGCTTCTTTCCACATGTCTCCTGGACTACTGTACTGCAGGGCACAGTACTGGGGCTAGCGCTGTTCAGCATCTTCATTAATGACCTGATGATGAGATGGAGGATGCCCTCAGCAAGCTTATAGATGATACAAAGCTGTGAGGAGTGGCTAATATACCAGTGGCTGTGCTGCCATGCTGAGGGACCTTGACAGGCTGAAGAATTGAGCAGAGAAATCTTAAGATGCTCAAGAAGTGGAGATACGAAGTCTTGTGCCTTGGGAGTTACAGCACCTTGCACCAGTAAATTGTGGGTGTTGCTAAGCTAGAAAGCACCTTTGTCCAGAAGGATCTTCAGGTCTGGGTGGACAAGCTGACCATGAACCAGCATGAATCCTAGTGGCAAAAAAAAGATGAGCAGTATCCTGGGCTGCAGTGTAAAGAGCATTGCCAAAGACTGAAGGAGGTGATCCTCCTTCTCCACTTGGCATTGGTGAGGTCACATCTGGAATGCTGTGTCCTGTTCTGGGATCTTTAATAGAAGATGCAAACAGGTTTAATGATGTCCATTTAAATGGAGTCCAGTGCAGGAACCACAAAGGTAATAAAGGGGCTAGAGCATCTTTCATACGAGGAGAGGCTGAGAGAACTGGAAGTGTTCAGCCTAGAGAAGGCTCAGAGGGTATCAGTTTGTACTCTCTGATACTCAGTGTGTCAATTTGTATGAATGTATAATAAGAGTGAATGAAGATGCAGGAGGCAGGCTCATCTCTGTAGCACTCAATGACAGGACAAGATGCAGCAGACAAATTAAACCACATCGATGTCTGTCTCAACACAAGCAAAACCCTATTGTTTTACTGGGGGTGTGGTCCAGCACTGGAATAGGTTTCCCAGAGGGGTTGTGGAGTCTCTGTTCTTTGAGACATGGAAAATTCAACTGGATGACGTGGTGCTGGAAAACCTGCTCTAGCTGATCCTGCTTTAGCCAGGGGCATTTCCAGCAGTCTCTTCTAATGTGGGTAATTCTAGGCTTCTGCGACTGGGGACAGGTGTCTCTTTTTTTCCAGGCAATGCTTTTTGTCCTTCTCCTAGTCCTGTTCTGAATGGTTGTCAACTGCAATGACTTTGTTAAACTGGGTTTTTAATACCAATTATTTTGCTACTACTGATTGATAATTTCTTTTAAATTTGGGGAGGGGCCTAAAGGGAAAGGGCATTAAGTGTTAGAGCGGAGGGTCTTACTCTTGCAGCTGTTTCACGGGAGTGAACAATAGTGTTTTACAAGGGGGAGCTAACATAATTGCAGCAATCTTTTGAATGCAACAGGCCCAGATGTAGGGCCAGTAAGAGGGTTGGTGTAAAGTTACCTTGGGCTTAGAGAGCACCAAGTGCCCAGGAAGGGCATTGACCCCGAATGTAGACTTATGCTCTATTTGTGGGGAAGTTAATAAACTATGAGCAAATAGAAAGCTCTTACTTTTGTACTCTATCACAGTGCTTTGGTAGAGATCCTTCCAAGGCAGTTTGCTAGTTTATTTCTCAAAGATTTGACAAGTTAAGTCAAAGACCTATGTAGCTGAAACAAATAATAAATTGCAAATTATTAAAATTATACACAGAATATATGTAATTAAGATAATGAATGATCCTGTTTTTTAAAGAAACATGCAATACTGGGCATTTCCTCTCTTGTTATTTCATTATGGGAGCCAACAGGAGTTTTATTTATTACTGAATTAGCAAATTGAGGAACAATGCGGAAAAAATACTATAAAGTATAAATCAAAGGGGAAAAGATGATGTAATTTCATAGGCTTAAAAGGAGGAATGAAAATAACTGAGTTTTAAGTCCCCAGGGAAAAGGAGGAATGCTTTTAATAACCTTTAAGGCTTTGCAGGAACCTTCCATTTACTTGCCAGGTGTTTGGTACTGAGGCAAGAAAAACATTTTTTTTTCCTACTCTGGGTTGTTTTTGATAGTACTTTGTGTGTAAAATAAGATAGTGCACTTAAACTTCACAGGAAAAAGTTTTAAAATGTAATTGGCATAGCAAGAGGAAATTTCAAATTAAATAGTTAGTCTTCAAACAAAAATGTTAATTGGGAGGGGGATCTGGGTGTTTAACTTAGTGGTATGATATTTAACCACTCTAGGAGGAGTTGTGTTGCTATCCTTAACATTGCATAAATTTGTGGGACTTAATATTTCAGCTGCATTTTGCCATTCTTTTTTTTTTTTTTTAAATATACTTAAGATACACTGTATATTCATTTACTGGGCTTTAGGCATAAACTGTAGTTGAACTTGATTCTCAGGGGTAATCTCTTAAAATGAAACTGTAGTAAACCTGGCTCCATTTTGCATTAAGAGGGAGAGATGGTATCTTGTGATGGGGTTAAGTCTTCCACTGTTACAGTGTTTCTATCAGGCCACTGGCACAGTGGAGAAAAATATACCCCTCGAGAGACTTGGTAAAGCTAGCAGAATCAAATCAAACAACTCTTTAAGAAAAAGCCTTGTTTGTTAAAAGTTTTTCCAGAGACTGACAGATCTTATTATCTTCCTTCATACTGACTGGGATGTCAGTATGTCGAGAGCAAGCAGAACTTATTTTCAGTGGAAGTAAATGTTGTTTTGAGGGCAGTTGAACTCATGACTTCATTTATGAGATCTGAACTGTTGATTGCCTGTCTCAGGTTTTCAAATGTTCCTTAAAGGACCTGTTTTTATTGATGTTTTGTGAGAGAACTAAATGTTAAGGCTTACGTAGAAGTGACATTTTTTTTTAATAACAAAATGTGGTGTTATCATTCACCTAGTGTTTTTACACTAGCTAGTTTGTACAGCAGATTGCCGTGTTTGGCTTTGAATATAAGAGTAGCAGAGAAATCTATAACTGTTATGGCAGCATATTTAATTCTCTACTGAGGGGCCTGCCTTGAAATATTTGTAATTGAAATGTGTGGTGTTTCAGAAATACTTTTTTATGACTATGCTTTGGGAACTTTTTTGTTGTTTAATAGAACTTTTCTACAGGTGACAGTGACTCTGCCTTTGAATGGGTTTAATGCCATATTAACAAGACTTGCATCAGGAAGAAGCAATTCACCAGCATTTTAGATGTTAAATAATTCCAAGCAGTTGTAAGTACTTCCGTACTTAGAAATAATGGTTGGACAGTAGAAGTGGTCACTTAATTTCTCTTACAGATGTAAGCACAACAAAACAAGCATCTCCAGAGTGGTGTGTAGCATAAGGCTGGGACCACATCTGTCATTGGGCTGCCTTAGCATTGTTTCTTTTTTCTCTTGTGTTACTGACCATTTCTGCAATACTACTTGAGGTGATGGTGCTAGAATGTTGTTTCAGTGGAGTAATACTCTTCCAAACATAGACTTAGATCCTGCAGCTTTTCATCTGAGTGACCAATGAGTTGATGCCCTTGTAGGTGGCGTTTCAGGCAATAGGAAAACCAAGAAAAATGTCTCAATTGCTGTAAAATCTGTCAACTTTTCTACTATACTTTCATCAGATGTCCCGTTCTGCGGAGATATCTATAAAGCAGTGTAGCATGAGCAGAAACTTAGGAAATCCAGCAACACCAATGTCTGTGGCTCTCTATTTCCACAGAGGCTCTTGCCATCTCATAGCTACTACATCATGATTTTGCTTGCTTTTAGGTGTGAAAGGTGTGTGCAGTTGTTGCCCAGTATCTGAATACTGACTGGAGGGCTTCTGCCCAACCTCACCAACTTTGTTAGGTGATAGTGGCACAAACTGTTGCTTTCAGTACCTTGAGCAATATTGGAGCTGTAGCGATAACAGTTGGGAACTCAGTAAAGAAGTAAACAAGATGAGAAAATGGTTGTTCTTTAAACAACCCCCCAGCAACAGCAAACTCCCCTGTTTTTCCATCTGCATTGCTACTGTGTAGTATGCAAGGGTAAGGACATGAGCCCACAAGCATCGCTTTGAGAACAGACACTACATATTCTGGAATGAACATACCCTTTGACTAGAGTGTGCCTGCTCGGGTGTTGGAAGGGGTTTAATGAACTGCAAACAGGAGGCTGGATAAGGGAAGGAAAGAAGTGACTTGTGAAGAGTACCTGTTGC